ATAGTATATATATATATATATATATATATATATATATATATATATATATATATATATATATGATATAACTAAAATGTATTAGGCTATTAGTTGTTACACTCCATCAGCATTTACGAATATATGCTATATTTATATGCAAAAAGCTCAACTCATTAAAGAGGACTAAACATTTTAAATTATAAGTGTCTTTGACAAATCTCTCTCTCACTCTCTCTTTCTCTGTCGGTCTCTGTAGGGATTTTGTGGAACCTGTCTTCTAAAGACAGTTTGAAGGAGAGGCTGGCCAGAGAGAGTTTGTCTGAGCTGACGGAGAGAGTGCTGGTGCCTCTGTCTGGAGGAGGAGATGCTGGTGTCATTCAACAGAGTGCGTCTGAGGCTGATATTTTCTACAACACCACAGGTTGCCTCAGGTACAGACCTCACATATACATGCATGCATTTAAATGCATTTGAGTTCTATGCATGCACAGCATAGTTAAAAATTAACTAGAGCATGGGGCACAAATGTCAACGAATTTAATAAAAAGCCCCAGATATTTCAATTGTGGGAGCATCAAATGTATCCAAAATGAATGCTTCATTTTAACATAAAAAAAAATTAAATTATAAATTGTATATTTCAGAATATACGTATATATATATATATATACTGTATATATTTCAGCCTGTTATTGTGCATAATGTCAGGTACTTGTATATTTGTTAAAAATGTACCTGAAATAAAGCAAGAGTTAATACACTGTACACACAATCACTCACATGCTTTCAATGGTTAACAACCTCAAATATGAATGTTTATGGCTGATGCTTATAATGTTACTGATGTTTATTATTATGTTGATTATTAATGGTTTTTGCCACCTTTTTGTAGTATACAAGTTTGTAAAAGACGCCATACAAAGAGTATACAACGTGTAGGAGTTCCCGCTGGAAAGATTTATAGACACAATAAAGATTCACCTCCTATAAATATTTTAACACAAATGCATGAAATAAAACATCTTGACATGTTAACAACACCCCTTTATATGCATTGAAGGAACCTGAGCTCAGTGAATGAAAGAACCAGGCAGCAGATGCGGGAAACGCGAGGGCTGGTAGACTCTCTGGTTGGATACATCAAAAACTCCCTACAGGAGGGAAAAGGAGAGGACAAGGTCAGACCTGAGAATTGACATTCAAATGTTGTGCTTGCTAATATGCTAGCCTTGAGCCATCTTTGCCAGTTGAAAACCATTCTAGATCTACAGTAGTTCTCACATGGCAATTAGAAAACAATTGTTATTAAATCTATATAAAATCAAAACATCATTTGCAAAAAGCATTTGAAATCCTCATTCTGTAATTCTGTGCCTCTAGGGTGTAGAAAACGGTGTGTGTGTCCTGCGCAACCTGTCGTACCAGCTGTACTCTGAGATCCCTGCTTCAGTTCAGATGCGTTTGGAAGGACCCACTCGAGCACAGGACACGCGGCACAACGACCCCATCAGCTGCTTCACACCACAGAGCAAGAAAGCAAAAGATGTCAGTCACTCACCCACAATCTGCTATCACATCAACATACATTTTAACGTATTAGCAATATTGTTAAACTTACTTTCCTTTCACATATTATGTATTTTATATTGTTCACATTTGATTTTTCCCAAACCTAATCTAATATTTCCCAAAATTATTTGTTGACTTTTTTTTACAACAATATATCCTTTTTTATATAGGATATTCTTTGAATATACAGTATATTGTAAATAATAATGCATACTCTACCATTGAACGTTTTAAGAACGGGGCGATTTTTTTAATGTTTTTTAAAGAAATCACTTATGCTCATAAGGCTATATTTATTTGATCAAAATATAGTAAAAACTATATTATTGTGAAATATTATTACAATTTAGAATAACTGATTTCTATTTTAATACTTTTTAGAAAAATGTATTTTTGTTGTAGGAAATCAGAATTTTCAGCAGCCATTACTCCATTCTTCAATATCACATTATCTTCCAGAAATCATTCTGTCATTTCTTATTGTTATATTATATTATTATAAATATTGAAAACAGTTGTGCTGCTTAATATTTCTGTGGAAATGATAATACACTTTTTTCAGAATTTTGTTGATGAATAGGAATTTAAAAAGAGCAGCATTTATTTGAAACTTTACTTTCATTTTTTTTGCAGCACTATAAATGTCTTTACTGTCACTTTTGATCAATTTCATGCGTCCTTGCTAAAATAAATGTAAAATTTCTTGAAAAAAAAATTCTTACTGACCTTGAACCTTTGAAGAGTAGTGTAATTATCTCTCCAGTGCAATAGACAGAGGTGGTATACTTCATATCTGCAGTCTGTCATTAATGAGTTATAATGTGTGCCATCAGAGGAATCAAGACCTGAGCACCTTCTCTGAAGTGGCACGAGTCCCGAAAGGAACAGATTGGCTGTGGCACCCTCAGATAGTCGCTCTGTACAACCGCATCCTGCAGAACACCGAAACAAACACAGCCACACGTGAAGGAGCGGCGGGAGCCCTGCAGAACATCACAGCGGGCGACAGCAGGGTGAGATACCAGATACGACACTGAACTTCCTCATATTTAATCTAATTTGTGAGTCGTAATCATATGTAACGTTAGTGCTGGGCAGTATACCAGTTCATACCGAATACCGGTGTTTATTTTTCTTATGATATGAATTTTTAAAATTCCGCAATACGTATGTCGTTTAAACAACATTTGGAACACTGTTTGAGAGGGGTCCCTTTTCACTGTTGCACTGTGGCAAGGACACCGCTGTATGCGTTACTAAGCGTGAAAGTTCCGAAACTGAAGCTGTAGAACTAGTAGAACATGATGACACAGAAGAACTCATCCACAATATCCACACTGACCGCCACAAATATCCACCGCCCCCTGCCATCAGCTCCCGTGTCTCACACACACGAAAGTGACTTCAGCACTAGATTTTAGCAACTTTCAGACCCTTTTAGCGGCTTTTTTCCCATAGAATATACATACTGACAAACCTAGCGACTTTTTGGGATAAACCTTAGCTATGGTTCAGTTGGAAGATGTCACCAGTACTGCCTCACGAGCGCAAGGTCTGACTTTCCCGGCGCAGTATTGCCTCTCTCTGCGTCTGTTCTGTGCAGTGAGCGGCAGAGAAGCAGCGCATTCAGCTGGCCGTACCACAGCAGAGCAGCCTTGTCAGTAAATGAGTACAAAACAGTGTTTCCAAGCACCTGTCGCTTACTGACTGTTTGGAATTATAAATATGAGCATAGTTCATCAGTTAATATTATGCACTTTGTAAAAAAAAAAAAAAATCTAGTTTGTTACTCAGACGGAGGCAGGGCGCTGCATGAGACAAAAAAGTAATATAGCCAAAACCACCGCATCTTTGCATGTAGATGCATGTTGATTTTATAAGACACTTATAAGTGAGAGTGACTCCTGGTTAACATGTATTAATGGGTCTTGTTTAGTCACAATTTAGTGTGGAATTTTTCTACAATATTCACTCATCATGACAGTAAAATAGGGCATTCTAAGTCAATCTACTGCAGTATTTCCTCTCTCAATCAGTAGAAAATATGGTTAACACTTGGTCATGCATGGAAAAAAATATACCGTCATATACCGTGAAACCGGTCTAATTTTGAAAAATACCGTGATATAAATTTTTGGTCATACCGCCCAGCACTACGTAATCTTAATAGTAGCTAAATGTGTCACTTTTATCTCTGTTATTTATCACTTTTAGTGCTCCAGTGTGCTCTTAAACTCTCCTACTTATTCAGTCTGCATGTTTCTCCCATCTTTATTTTTCCATCCCATTTCTCGCTGTTCTCCTACACTCTTAAAAATCAAGGTTATTCAGTGACATCTCTGTAAAATCCCCCATCTGGAACCTTTATTTTTAAGAGTGCGTGTGTCTTTGTGTTTTATCTGGCAGACTGTATAACTGATTGCTCTCTGTCTCTCTTGTTTTCCTTCACTCACCATTTTCCTTTGTTCTTTCTTAGTGGGCCTCTGTGTTGTGTCGTGTGGCGCTGGAGCAGGAGCGGATGTTGCCGGTGATTCTCGACCTGTTGCGAAGCCCCACAGATGCCGAGCTCCGTTCTCTCACGGGTCTGCTGAGGAACCTCTCCCGACACTGCAAAAACAAAGCTGATATGGGTTAGTGAATGACTTTCTGCTCCAGCTCTCTGGCTTTAATCACATCTTAATGTGTAAAACACCCCAGCCAAGATTTCAACATTCTGGCAAAGAAAATGTCTAGATCAGCAAAAATCTACATGAAGTTTTGCACAAGGCGATAACTATGAAAAATCCTCCGGCAATCTGTTCTGTATATTTATTCTCACTTCCCAGAGTGCACCGTTCCCCCTCATAGTATTAAATGGAATTCTTGCACATTGTTTTTACTCCCACACATTCTTTTCAGCTCCCATCAGACTCATACTTGTGTCATTCCCAGTATCCGCTGCCGCCCGTTTATCCCCACCCTGACCTCAGTTCTCTGCTTCACTATAATGCACCCCCGCTGGGCCACAGGGTGCCTGCTTAGTCACACTACACACATATCATTCACACTTTTTGTTTGTGCAATTCCTGCTAAATGTGTTATTGCTTCCTATCCATAGCTACCAAAGTGGTGAATATTCTGGTGAACAAACTCCCCAGTGATGGGCATCAGAAAGAACCTTCTAGTGAGGTGGTGGTCAACATCTGTGGGGTTCTCAACAACCTGGTTACAGGAAGCTCTCTAGCTGCGAGAGATATCACTTACTTTGATGGACTACCCAAGCTGGTCAGCATTAAGACATCTAAAGTCTTGTGCATGCTTACTCAACTCTTTTCTTCTTTTTTGGAAGGCTTCTTAAGGCCAATGGCTGATAGGTTGGAATGCATTATGGGTCAGTGTACAATTGTGGTCTTTATTTGAGTGCATAGGAACATCCTGAGCAACCACTGACCAAAACGGCTCTCTCTTCAGTATAGAGACAGAATTGTAAGATGCTGACAAAGAGCTTTGGCCTAACTTTAGTCAGAGAGACAGAGTTCAGTGGATGAAGAGAGGGAGAGAACAGAGAGTGCAATGTTTGTTTTTAATGATCTTCTGCCAAGCATTTTCCTAACAGAGAACTGGTTCTAACTGTTTACTCTCTAAACATTAAAGACAAAAAATATTCTCAAAGACAGAAGTAAAATGTATCCACAAGAGGAAAATGGTCATTTAAAATGAAGATTAAGACCTTTATTGTCTCTAAATTACAAAGGCACTTCACATTTTATGCATATCTGGTTTAAGCGGTATGAGCCAAGTATATTTGGCTGAACAGAGAAGCCCAACGCAGCCACAGAAATATGCACACCTGAAATTACTCAGTTCCATATGTGTGACCCAGCAACACTTAAGAGGAAGCAGTAGTTAAGAAAAGTACTGTAAAAAATCTGCCGTTTTATATAAAAAGAGTGAATGCATACATTCCACTACAAGATGAGACACATCTGTCTCATCTCACTTCCATATATCTTCAAGGACTAGATAAAAAAAAAGAAAGATATATTGATATTTTAGGAAGATTTATGAATATTCCAAGACGGCAAACAAAAAGGAAAGAACATAAACGTCCAAACATTCCATTTACTATTATTTCTACTATTAAATTCTTGTGAAATTATGTAGAGGGAAGTAACCTAATATAACTTGGCTTATCTTAAGCAACTGAGAGAATAAGACAAAACTCATTGGTCAAAAGTAACTAATGGAATGTCTTTGTGCAATAGAAGTAATCACTCTTTGTCTGAAGCAACACAGCAGTGTAGACATGCATGTCTACTGACACTTTATGGAGGAAAAAAATGTTGACCGTTTTATTTCAACTTCAACATTTATTTCACCCCATTACTTCATTCCTGGAACACAATTAATGAGTACATTAATAGGACCGTATCAAAAATACAATATCAAAATATATTTATATTTAATGAGAACGACAGTTGTTTAGAAAGCCATGGACAGCACTGTAAAGAGCATAACACATTTCTTACTTCTTAAAAGTAAACACCAAAACATAAATATATCCTGTTAAAATATTCTTCTAGGAAACATAAATCATCATAAAATATTTTTTTGGCCAACAAAATTAATGGATAATTTTAGGCTTGTTGGACTTTTTCATACTAATAAACTGTCTGATTTTACATGTTCACAGGCAAAATTTCTTTCATTTCTCAGAAACAATTTATGATGCAACCAAAAAATTGTATGGTGCATCCCTCTGAAGCAGAGCAAATATGACTCATCTTGAGGGAAAACTGTAAACTGCAAAGAGAGCAAAGCTCCAATAATGGCTCTCAAAGTAGTGAAGTGAAGAGATACATCCCACGTATGGATGCAAGTGAGAATGATCTGTCAAAAACTGAAATCTTCAGTGTGTAAAGTCTTGTTGTGCACGTGGAAGTCAGGTTTTCAAATCTCTGATATAAAAGAATCTGGTTTGAAACCTTCATCGTTCACACCTCAGTGCATCTGCTGTTATAGATTGCATTTGCTTCCCTGTTAGAGACAGAAAAACAAGAACAGTTAATAAGCACCACACTCTCTGTTGAGGCTTATAACTGGACTCCTAAATATTTTAATGTAACTTTACAACAATGCAAAGCAGTGAGAAAGAGTTATATCTCAGTCACATGAAAATACTTACTGAAGTTCCTTTTTCAGTCTTCTCAGCTTGTCGTCTAGCCTGTCGTTCTTCACTCTGATGGGACTGTCAGGTATAAACCAGGCAGCGATAAATTTGCACATCACCACTACATGCTGAGTGGAGAGAAGCACAGGAGATCTCAGACAATGTTTAACCAAAAATCAACAAAGTAAAGCGTGTGAAAAGAGAAATAAAACAGAAAGTTAAGTTAAATAGCTCTAATATTTGTACCTCGAACAGAATAACAAAGGCAAAGCGGAGTGCCAGAATGAGCCAAAACTGAGAGGTGAGACTCTGGTCTTCATCATTGCGGTAGTCTTTGTAACTATAGAATACACAATACACATTCAATGCAATGACATGAAGCATTCCCTTATTGAACAAAGCAATCAAGTTCATCTGCATTATTAAAAGGTACATCAAAACAAGTGTCACCTGCACTGCGTAATATTATATCCAATCTCTATCAAATGCTTGAAGTCCTCTCTCACTTTGTCTTTGGACATGAATGCTGTTGCCAGAGTGTTGTTGATGTATCCCGTCATACAGCTATCAGACAAAATAAATGTACTCATTACAGCAGTAATCTAGTGTCATATATACGAACAAACTTTTTGATTTGACACTTCTTTGCCAATAAGTTGTGACGAGATGAAAAGGTGGAAAACACTGTTTGTTTGGTTTACTACTCACTCCATGCTTGTACTATTGCTGGTAGCACAAGGTCCATAATGATAACGATACACCAGACGGGGAATGAAGTCAGAGGAAATCCCAATCACTAGTCCATTAGCAATGACAGCCATCACCCCGACAGCTTCTAATATTCTAGTCCACACACCTGCCAGAGGAGAATACATGGCACAATGCGTTTACTTGATGCTGAAAACTGAGGTAACTATTAGAGGTAACTGAGGTAACTATTCACCGATGTCATTTGTCTTTTTGGGCACTAGGCGGCGCTCAAGGCTGACCATCTTGATGGCATCCAGTCTGATCTCAAATATGTTATTGATAAGAGCCAATAAGGGAGCCAGAGGGAAGGCAGCCACAAAAATAGTGGTGAAACTGAACTGAAGAACTAATGACACAGAGAACAGTACAGGTTAGTGGATGACTTGGGAACATTACCACAAATAAAGCATGTGGCTTTACTGTAAAGTTCACTCAAACAAATGTCAAAATATAACTAAAATAAATCTTTGCAATCCAAAAATGATATTACAGTAAACAAATTGGATGTTATTGGTAAGTCAGCGGCGCTGTAAAACTAGTTTGTGCTGAAAACAGGTAATCGAGAGAGATACGAACCCATTTCCAAAAACTCATTAAACAAGCTGAAAGCATTAACATCATTCAGGTCGTAGTTGTCCAGCCAACTACGAAGCTTGCAGAGGTCACATAGGTTCAGGTTGCCCTCCTCCTCTCGACATGCCTTCCGGTAACAGTTACCACACTTTCTGCGCATCTTCTTGGCTTTCGTCCTCCTAAAACAGAGCTTTAACCAGCTGTGGCCACAAACAAGGGAAAAGAAGCAGAGATAGAAAATGAGAGCGAAATCCAAGAAGTCCGATAAGCGCTGCCATTTGTTTCTGGAATCTGGAAAAATATGAGGCTTTTTTCTTGTTTGGTTTTAGTGCATACAGTATTTCAGAAAACACTTACGGCACTGTGAACTCAAATATGTTGTTGATTGTTTGTTTGAGCACCAGAATAACAGCCATCTGGATGAAGAGGTCTGTAAGGCAGCCACTTGGATGACACTAAAGCAAAGAAATATTTGTTTGCAGTTAGATTAGAATCACACTTCGAATAAGTGTCTGACAAATGCATAAATATAGCTAAATAAGCATTTCTAAATATAAACGTACATATAAATGTACAGTAATACTGGCATGACTTTTACCTCTTCTAGTCTCCATTTTCCTGCAATTCGAACATAGTTTCCTGGATAGCCATTGATCCTAAGTATAGCATAATGAGACACTTTGAATAGCCTGCCATAAGAGTAAATAACTACAAAAGCAGATACGCACAATTACCTTCCTAGAAAGAACGCCACATAAAATAGAGATGAGAAGAGAGTAAAGAATTGAAATGTGAACATCTTCACTGTGAAGCGCTTCTCTGTGGCTGCAAAAGAGCGGGTCTTTTCTGCAAATAAACAGTAATTACATATTGGTACCAGTAGTTTGTCAGCATATTAATGTAATTGATTTTATGTAAAAAAGATTTAATACCCACCAAACTCACACAGTTTGAATGCCACAATTTTGTTGACCTGAAAAGAAACGAATGTATTATTTTCTTCCAGAAAGTCCCCATGTTCATTAACAAGCAAATGTTTTATTCTCATTAGACAGTTTTCTATCAGTACTTACCCGAGTCATAACCTGAATAGTAATGTAGTGCAGCACTGCTCCAGATAACATGGCTATTGTGGTAGCATGATCACGGAAAAATTCCCACTCACTTTGGGACAACAATATTGCAGTTAAAACACGGCAGATGACCAGAGCATGGGCCAGACCTATGATCACCACCAACTGAACACAATGAAGATAAGATATTATTTTTTTTACATTACTTGTTTATGTGTGTGTGTATATAGTAAAACTAAAATGTAAAAAAAAATTCTCACCACTAATGTAACCAAAAGAAGCACCACGATGCTGCGCAGGTAGGAATGTCTGAACTCTTTTGGCTTACACTGAGGGTTATTTACAATCTCCAAAATCAATTCTTCCTGTGGACAGATCAAGTTGTTTGGCTCCATTACGAAGATAAGATATTATTTTTTACATTACTTGTTTATGTGTGTGTGTATATAGTAAAACTAAAATGTAAAAAAAAATTCTCACCACTAATGTAACCAAAAGAAGCACCACGATGCTGCGCAGGTAGGAATGTCTGAACTCTTTTGGCTTACACTGAGGGTTATTTACAATCTCCAAAATCAATTCTTCCTGTGGACAGATCAAGTTGTTTGGCTCCATTAGAAGATGCACATTAAATATGCTAAAAGTGATGATGAGAAAAAAGTAATGACCCTACCTCCTCCTCGCACCAGTCAAACACATTCCACTTTGACACATGCAGAGCTCGATGTCTCTTCCACAGCTCCAAGAACAGGGTTGCTAGTCAAACAACATCACAGTGCTTCAGTATCTATGTCATAGCACATAGAAATTTGTATTTCATTTTTGCTAAATGGGGAAAAACCTCACCCCAAATTGCCATGAACATGGCAAAAGCCACTGTCCCTTCATTGTCAAATAGTTGGCTCACCTGTTTGTAAGCATTTACACTATCGTCAAGACGACACAGAAAAGCACTGACAGATAATGGTGCCATTTATTCTGAATACACACTACCGTTCAAAGGTTTGGGGTCAGGAAGATTAGTAAGACATTAATAAAGACATTTATAATGTTACAAAATATTTCTTATTCAAATAAATGCTGTTCTTTTGACATTTCTATTTATCAAAGAATTCTGAAAAAAAAATATTAAGCAGCAGAACCGTTTCCAAATCAGCATATTAGAATTATTTCTGAAGGATAATGTGACACTGAAGACTGGATAATAATAGCTGCTGAAAATGTAGCTTTGCCACCACAGGAAATGTCATTTTAAAATATATTAAAATAGAAAACAGTTATTTAAATTGTAATATTATTTCACAGTATTATTGTTTTGACTGTATTTTTGATCAAATAAATGCAGACTTGGTCATCATAAGAGACTTCTTCAAAAATCTTACCAACACCTAACTTTGAACGATAGTGTCCGATACTGTTCAGCCCTTTTCAACACAATTAACTGTTGCATATATACACACACAACAATTAATAATGTCGAAAAGTGCTGAATTATAATGAAACTGCGACTTGTTTATTCACTGACCTTGGCATTTGTACAGGTGTCAGACAGGTTCCACACGCTGCATCTTAGGTCACATCTTGGACACATGGTGATGTTGGAGTCACAGACTTCATGACTGTAAGAAAACACCACAATTTAGAGATAGTTGGGTGTAGATTAAAATCTGATTAGTCGGTCTGAATCTGATCTGTCATCTGTCTCTACACCTCAACATTCACGTGAATCTCTTTGCTCTAAATATACTCACATGAGCGGACTTGTATTGAAGAAGGCAAGGCCATACAAGAACACAACAATACCAATAACAGCTGCAGGGACGAGCATGCGCGTGTACCAGCCCAGCCACAGGTAATACAGTGCCACTTTCTCCCCG